GCATCCCCTTTCTGTTCTGAAATGTGATTTGTCCTTTTCATATGTGTTCATTTTTTTAATTGTATCCTTTGGTATATGTGGTTGTGACTATTTTCTTCCACTATTTGATCTGAGGAAGTGGGTCTGGCCCACAAAAGCTCATCATCTAATAAACCATCTTTTAAGTGCTACATCGTCCTGTATTTTGTTTCAGCTACACCAGACTAACATTCTGTTCTGAAATGTGATTTGTCCTTTTCATATGTGTTCATTTTTTTAATTGTATCCTTTGGTATATGTGGTTGTGACTATTTTCTTCCACTATTTGATCTGAGGAAGTGGGTCTGGCCCACAAAAGCTCATCATCTAATAAACCATCTTTTAAGTGCTACATCGTCCTGTATTTTGTTTCAGCTACACCAGACTAACACGGCTACATTTCTATCACTCCCCCATGAAGTGTGTCTGGTTTTTTTTTAAGACTACCTGGTGACCCTAATCACCCACCCACCTATTTTTTTGAGAGAGAGGAAGTGAAAAACTGCAGGAGTTTGGGGAGGGCAGAAGGACCCAGATCCTCAAAGATATTCCAAGCTTGCATTGATCTCGGGTGGAAGGTAGGAGCCTAAATATCCATGTGGTTCTCAGCCAAGGTAACTACCCAACAGGGATGTAGCAGGACACCAGGGTTAAAGAAGCTACAACAGTAGCTACTGGCAGGAACAACCACATGGGAGCTTGATCCTTGTTATGAGATTAGGTCCCGGAAAGTTCAGTCTCCAGACAGTGCCCCCATATGTTGTCCCCATGTTATAAATACCCTGCCTCTTGGGAACAAACTAACTATTATGTGCAATGGAATCTTTAGCGGCTCCAAGCATCCAGGCATAGAGTTGCCAGATGGTTTTACCAAAAATACCGAACACCCCACCCTCCCCCCCAAAAAAAAACACAGGGAAAAAAATTCTATTGAGAAAAAAAAGGGGGAGACCAAATTAAAAATCAGCATGGCCCCTTTAAGAAGAGGCTTTTTTTGCCGGTAGCCATTTTGTTTTTCTTTCCAGCCACAAGACAAGCCCCTGCAGAACCAGGTAAGCAGGGGCTGGGCCCAGTTGCTGAGTGTGTCGAAGGGTTGCCAGGTGTCCAGTATTTTTGCCTTCTGGCAGGGAAAAAAAATCAGAAAATACCGGACATTTTAGGCGCCTGGTATTTTCTGAATTTTTTTACCGGACAGGGTGAAAATACCGGACTGTCCGGGTCAATACCGGACACCTGGCAACCCTATCCAGGCAAATGGCAAGTCAAGTCTGAACTGGCCAATGACACTTCCCAGAGCACCCACTGGCACTCTGCTGAATACCAGCATTGGTTCAGAGGGGAGAGCACCCCCAGCTGAGACCCGTCCTAGTCACACTCCCTAGCAATGCACTGGAGTGCTGGGGTCAGCACTGACTCAGAAAGGAGCGTGCCAGCCCTCCGATCTCCCAGCCATGCAGCCCAGGCCCAGTTCTGTGTAGGCCCTGAGCTGAGGTGGGGTGGCTATCAACATCTTTTGGGAATTAAAAAATGCTTTGGGGCTGAAGGCAGCCGTCTTGGGTCAGTGAGTGTCCCTTGTGAGGCTGCCAAAGCTCTGCCAGTGCTGGGATTAGTTATGAAGATGGAAAAACTAATATCCTGTCCCACAGCACCCTAGAAATCTGGTCACATGTAGGGAGGGATGGACTTGGATAGATGAGACACTAGCCTGAACCTTTGCCTGGAGTCAAATCCTTTATCCTGAACCACTGCTGAGGCAGCCCCAGATGGTGTTTTCCCCACAGCCCTGAGTCATGGGAGCCATGCTCTCAGTAGTCAAGTCAGCAGCCTAGAATCTGCTGGGCCAGGGGATAGAAGTTCAGGAGAACAAGAAGCTTGCCTGAGCTGGACTGGTCAGAATTCCCCTCCTCCCTCCAAGAAACAGCCCCTTTTCATCCCCTTCCACAGGATTTGCAGCACAATGTGACTAGAAAGCTTGGGAGGGGGACAGTATTCCATGTTCCCTGTCGGTGTGCTTGGGTGGTCACTCAGGAGATTCAAATGCCGCCCAGCTGATTAGCAGAGCACCCACAGCCAGCAGCATGTTTCTCTATAGGTGCACAGAACATTAATTCTGCCCATGGATGGAAAAAATTAAGAGGGAACACTGCTGGGGGAGTCCCTCTTAGCCCAGTTTCTACTTGGCCTCCTGTTGTCCCATCAGCTCTTGAGATGTTACTCCCCTCCGCTGCCCCTTGCTGACCAATTCCAATCCTGCCAGGTCCTGTTACTCTCTTCCCTAGCTCCCAGCTCTGCAGACAGATAACCAGACTTCTTGGCCCTCTGAGATTAAGTCTTTTCCTGCCTCCCCCGAGCAGAGGAATTTCTCTTAAGCTGCAGATTTGCCTCAGACCTTTCTTCTAAGAAGCACCCGTCACCCCTACTCATATCCAAGGCAAGGAGGTTGCAGCTGGAGCAAATGGACTCTAATCCCAGGCCCCAGCATTTATGAAGATAAAAGAGAGCTGGGAAAGCAGGGGAGCTCCCAGATGGGAGCCGACAGCTGGGACAGTGGATGCTCTAGGGAGCACGAGGGCTCTGATCTAGTGAATTGAGTAATTATATGATAGCAGATTGAAGGGGACATATTAAGGAACTAAGAGAGCCCAATTCCTGGCCTCACTCCAGGTGTGCTGTGGAGGCAAGCGGCTGAGGCCATGCTATGCTGGCAGGCTATGTGTGGTGCATTTGAAGCAAAGATACGTGGGTAATCCCAGTCCTTAGACACATGGGACATCTCCTATCCTCCATGAATTTCTGCCACATGGTGCTTTTCAAGGATGGGACATGGGCTTAGGAAGCGATGGAATGGAGAGGTGGGGGTGGGCAGCAGAAGGGGCAGAGGAGCAGGGCAGAACCCTGTTTCGTGTTCAGCACTGTGCCAGGTGAAACCCAAGTTACAGACCCAAAGAAGCAGGTGGACACTCATGAGTTTCAGCAGCTTTTAATACTGTCAGACACTCCTACAGGGTGTGTGGTCTTCCCTTCCGGGACTCACTCATGCCCTCACACAAACAGTCCATCTTCCTTCTGAAACATACATGAAGATAGTCCAGTTCTGCATTGCGCATCACGTCAGAACCACACCAGAGACACACATTCCTGCCAGCTGGGACTGATCCCAAATCTAGAGGCTCCTCTCTGCCAGGCGCCAAGCCGTTGCCATGCTGTGAGGTCAGTGAGGGGCACACTGTGCCCATTTGCCACCACTCTCACTCTTGTAAGCATGTAGCGTGCATCGATAGACCCAGTATTGCCATTCCAAAGCACTCAAGTCTCATGAGACAGCCTCCCTCCCTCCCCCCTTAAAATCACAAGATTGGCTTAAAAATCATGAATTTCAAAAAATAATCCATTTGGTCTTAAAAATCCTGAGATTTAAAGAATAATCCATGTTGAGTTCTTCTGCCTGTCCTGAGTTTGGAGCATTTAATGGTCATGTTTTCAAGCTTTTCTCTGCAACCAGGAAGGCCAGAATCTACTTGGTTTTCTCCTTAAATGAGAGCAGTCTCCTGCAATCAGCTGACTCCGGGAGCTGGGGCTTTGAGAAAACACCAAGTAACACGAGACTCAGAATAAAATCAGAAACGGTATCAATGTACAGGGCTGTCCTTAGGATTTATGGGGCCCTATGCGGTACTACTATATGCCCAATGGGAACTGGTGTGGGGAGGGGATGACGATTTTAAAGATGTGATTTTACAATCTTCAGCAACACACTAATGAAATATTTTTAAAACAAATTTTAAACTAAGCTTCTGTAGAATAGTAAATTCAGAACTTGGCAGGCATTGGCAAATGCCTATTAAATGGCTTCATGACCACTTGAATGGCTCTTTCACAGGTTCCGTGTTCTGCTAATAGGGCTGGCAGGCTTGTTCATTTTTAAGATAACTAGATCCTCTCCAGAGGAAGCAGAACCGCAGAACAGGGATAGGAGGAAGCAGCTGGATAGACATTAAGACCCAGTGGTGCCCCAGATCTTCAGGTGCCCTACACAACTGCGTATTCTGTGTATGGGTAAGCACTGCTCTGACAATGTGAATCAGGGCAGGGCAGGCACCCAGGACTGCGTGATGAGGCTGTGGTGGGCACCAAACCCACTGAGGGCAACCTTTGCTCAAGATGGAGGAAGAAACATTGCTGAGCCTGGGACTGTCACATGAGAAAGCAAGGGGAGTTAATATGCAAACTGAGCAGCCTCAATGGGACTTGGCAGATCAGCAGCACAGAGCAAACTAAGTGCCCTTCCCCAACACACACTTTGTACAGACCAAATGCTCCAAGCACCCTGCAGTGATAAGGAAGCAGTTTGGTTCAGAACCAGGACATAACGAGTCCCCACTCCAGGCTGTCACGTGTCATGCAACATGTCAATTGACTCGGTGCGGAGGATCGTATCATGGGGATTGCTGTCGGCTACAGAGTTCCCTGCACGGCAGAAGGGTGTAAAAGCTCCATACCACAAGGCTAGTTTCCTCTATGTGCTGCCTCTGCCTTGCTCTGCTCCCCCCCCCCCCACCCCCCTTGCCTTGGCATGGTAGAATTGAGGCAGTATCAGGAAAACTGGCTGGAGAATCTCTGGGTTCTCCTTTAGCTGGGCACCATCATGGGACTCGGTGCCACAAAGCACCATGGACAAACGGTTTGCTGGGGCCAGCATTTTGCCCTCCAGGAGAGTCTGGGCTGTGGACTTTGCCATGAGGTACCTCAGTGGTTAGAGCCCAGGAACGACGACTGCCTGGGCAGGCATACGGGCCTCATGTTTGGATGGCAATGGAGGATGAGAGACTGGTGGTGACTGTCAGGTTGACTGGGCTCTCCCGTATGAACCAGCCACAGCAGGGTGCTCAGAAGTGAGGCTCCTAGGACCACAAGTATATAGGAAGGCAGGTAGCACTGCCCCTGTCCTTGTGCTCGCCGGGTCTGTAAGCAGCATGAGTACTGGTGTCCACCCTGGGACATTATGGGCAGGTGCTGGACTTTGGGTCAGGCACCCCGCTCCCTCACAAGATTTTGCAACAGCAGTTACTCATGCCCCCCCCCCTTTCTCCCAGCTCCCTCACTGGCAAGCAGAGATCTTCCCATGCATGTGCCCTTAGGGAACAGGGCAGCTTCCCTGTCTGAATCCAGTGCAGGCTTTTGCCTGCGCTGGTGCCCTGTGTCCTCTGACTTGGTCCATGTTCTCGCCCCTTCTCATCACTCCCTTGGCACTGTCCTGAAGTGACAGGACCCGCAGCAATATGGCAGCTGGGCAGCAGCCTGCAAGCAGGGGATGACTGGTGCACTTACAGCAACAGATTATTCCCAAAGGTCCTTCTGAATTACTTTAGGAGCCAGAGAACTGGAAGCTCCTCCCCTCGACTCACAGGTCAGGGGGAAGCCCGCTACCTGCCAATGCTTGAGAGACTGAGGCCATGAGTGGAGGGGCCTGCCCCGAGCTCCTGGGCATCTCACTCAAAGGCTCCCCTGTATGCTGAGGTTGATGGAGACCAGGAAGCTCTCGAGTGCTAAGGGCCCTTCAGTGGAAGCAGAGCTAAAAGAGGGAGTAGTTTTCAGGATCTGATGGAGGTCGCTAGGGCCCGTTTGCAGAGAGCCCCATAAGGGCCTGGGTGGAAAATACCTGGACCATCATGCAGGGGCTAAGAGGGCATGAGCCCCTCACCTGGGACAGACCCCTAAAGTGCAGAGCTGTGGGGCCAGAGAGCTCCATGGTCTTCTGCATGCTAGTGCAAGCATAGTAGCTCCACCCATACAGGGCCATCACATTCTCTTCTAAAGCAAAGGCAGAGGGGACCCAGAGTCCTCCCTTGACATTTCTACCAGATACAGTCATGCACTCTCTGCCCCTCTCCAACTCTCCCCTCTGCCAGACCAGGAACCAAAGACAGCCGTCATGGGACAGCATGGTTGAGACACAGAGAGGGAGACATAACAGCAGCAGGAGTGCAGGGGAAGGGCCAGGAGTGGGGAGCTGGGGGGTAGGGGCAGCCCAGTCCTTGCCTTCCACGCCACCTTCCCTGGCTGATTACTCATCACAGCCCAGCAGCTCCATGCGCAGCGTGATGCGGTTGTGCCACGCCACGGGCAGAATGCGCACAAAGCGGGCGTAGAAGGGCACGTCAAAAACATTCTTCTTGTGAGAGGTGTTGTCAGTGTTTCCTTGGAAGATCTGCAGAGAGAGGGAAGGAACCATTAGCTTAGGGAGCAGGTGCCATGGAAAAGGAGGCACTGCTGGGTTGAAAAGTACTGTAGGAGGGGAGCTCTCCAAATGCCCTGCCCCCCACATACAGGCAGTCCCCGGGTTACATACAAGATAGGGACTATAGGTTTGTTCCTAAGTTGAATTTGTATGTAAGTCGGAACTGGCTCCAGATTCAGCTGCTGCCACTGAAACTGACCAGGGGCTGACTACAGGAAGCTGGAGGCAGAGTTGCTCTGCCCCCAGCTTCCTGGAATCAGCCTGATCAGTTTCAACAGCTGCTGAATCTGGAGCCTGGGACAGAACAGCTGGGGCGCTGCC